TAGCAGCATCCCTCAGGTGCCTGCCCGCGCACCCCGGAGGTTCGTAGTAGGCCGGCACAGCGCACAACATCCACACAAAACACCATCCACACAACCACACACACACGGGCTAACAAGCTTCAGGGTGGTGTGAAAGCACTTACGTCAATAGCTTTCACCCTCCTGAGACACAGCGAGAGAGAGGGAGAAAAACGGTTTAATCTGGTTAAACATGGTAAAAATAGGACTGGAGTAGAAGCAGGAGATTAGGCAAGGGATTTAACTCTCATTTGTTTTTATAAGAGCTATCGCTGCTGGAGGTGCGGAGGAGGGGCGTGGTGGAGAAGGGAGAGGAGAGGAAGGATGCAAAGGAGAGGAGAGATGGGGAGGCTAGAGGAAAGAAGGAAAGAGGAGACAGAGAGAGGAGGAGGAGGGAGGAAAGGGGAGGACAACAGAGAGAGAGGAGAGGGCAATGCGGTAAAGATGATGGGAATGATGATGACGATGTGGTGGGTGTCGTTGTGTAGTGTATATCTTTACTTACTACACACTGTAAAACAGTTTTAACTCAAAACACTGCTGAAACTGATTACATCAAAAGGCTTAGAAAAAAACTCAAGGTTAAGAAAACATTGATTAATAACTTTCTAGTAGGTATTTTATTTTCACAGTAAAAATAGAAATTGAAAATTAGTCTTCTCACTGGCTAAAATAATAAGCCACTTAATTCAGAATGTTTCTAACTTATAAATTAGTTAGTTTTACCTAAAATGTTTGATGTAATCAGTTTCGGCAATTTTTTGAGTTCAATGAACGTATTTGGTTGTACAGTATATATGTACTATATGCAACCAATGCAGTGTCAACCAAAGGCTTGGTGTAACTCCACATTTGGTCCTCCACCCATCTAATAATCAGAATTAATCAGAGGCAGCAGAGCCACAGAGAGCCGCTGTGGAGGACACTCTTCATCTCAGCACTCACTGCTGCTGCCTCAGCATTCATTAAAGCCTCTGGCAGCCCGCCAATGAAGCAAAGGGTGAAAACTTAATGTTTCAAAGCAGATTCAATCTCAGGGGGAGATTTGGTTTGGGCCAATATACCTAATATTTTCACACTGCCAGGAAGTCGGGCTCAGAAAAACTCCATTCATCTCGCCGGTGAAGTGGGTGAGGTGGGAATACTAGTGCTTTAGGTAAGAGATATAGTTCTTTATGGCTTCAATATCACAGGGTACATTAATGTTATGCAATTCCCACTGACTTTATAACTAGTATGTAGCTCATACCATTAAAGCCATGAGCAGCAGATTTCAACCTATAAGTCTTCTGAAAAGCTTCCAGTATAGGCTGCAGCCTGCAGATAGGGGTGTGTACTTAAATTACATGTGTATAGGGCGCCCGAGTTGCTGCAGCAGCCCAGGGTTCAATCCGACTGCGCCTTTTGCGCGAATCATCCCTCTCTCGTCTGCCCCCCTTTCCTGTTGTCTTCAGCTGTCACTATCAATAAAGGCAATAAAATGCCCCCCAAAAAATGAAAAATGACATGTGTATATGCATTTTTTTCATGTGTGTGCAAACCACCAAGGCATTATCACATTGATAGAAGTAATGGGTAGCTTTTATGTAACAGTATCCTGGAAGTTGAAGTATGATGATCAACCTGACAGAAAGGTGAAGAAGTCACTACACTGTAAAAATGACTGATAGTTTACAGTATAGTTAAAGGTTATAAATACAAAATTGGCTTGCTATGTTGCATTAGAGAACCA